AATGCAGGATTTGATGTTTGAACAACTGGTTGTCATTCTTGCTCTGACTTTACCTTTTCTTGAATTATCACACTGTCAACTTTTGAAATTGGAATATTTACCCTATGCCATTGTCTTTGAGAACTGTGTTGATGGGGATGTCATTATCTATAAATGTTTCTTTTAATGGTTGATGAATAAAACACTCTTTGGCCAATACATGCAGGAAAATAGGTGGGACTAGAAAATTCTGGGAAAGGTAGACAGAGAGGTTCCGCAGGGAGATGCCATATAGCAGAAGAAGGAGAAACAGGTTCAGACCCTTCTCAGGTAAGTTAAGACCGTATGGAAATACTTAGATTAATACAATGTGTTAATAATTGAGAAAGAACTAGCCAATAAGAAGCCTAAGGCATCAGTCAACACTTTTATAACTAATCCAAGTCATTGTGTGCTTATTTGGGGCAAGGTAGCTGGAGTACCAGGATGGAAAGAAAACTCCAGCAACAAAATAGTGCTGACATGCAGGGTAAGATTTTCATGTAAAGCATGACAAAAACTTCGATAGGTATTATAAAAACAAAAGAACAAAGACAAGCACAGCTTCTTGGTGGCAGCATTTTCTTATGTGGGCTCTGTTTGCTAGAGAAAAGCAGAGGCTAGCGAGGCTTTAAGAGAGGCTTCCTGCCTCAGCATAGGTGGTAAAAACCACATGGCTCTTTTCAAAGGCCATGCTACCAAACAAATGGTGTTTATGAGCAGCTGAAGCTTGATGGCAGCACAGGCAGAGTTGGTGAGCACATTTCCCAGTGCTGGCAGTAAACATACCACACCATGTTGGAGAGTCAGCAGCTAAAACAGCCACAGCTTTAATCTTAGTCATGCTGTTTAGCAGATAAAAGACTGTGGTCAGAAAAAAGATACAGATATACAGTAAAGACAGATTCAGATGAAGACAAACCTTTAAAGGGTTTACAATGTGTTTAAAAATATATGCAGGCTTGGAGAGAAAAGAAAAAGAATAAAATGGTTAAGTAAGAAATAGAGTAGCTGTGTGTGGTGGCACAAGTCTTTTATCTCAGCAGTAGGGAGTGAGAGGCCAGTAGATTTCTATAATTTCAAGGCCAGCCTGATCTACAGAGTGAATTCCAGGATGGGCAAAAGTACCCAGAGAAACCCTGTCTTAGAAAACAACAACAACAAAATCCCAGAAATATAAAAATAAAAGAAATAGGGTAATAAATAAAAGCCACATAAGTTGGGAAATACACAGAGAGTCTGGATACTGTATGCTATTGTGTTGTCTTTGAATTGTTTGCATACTGAAGAAAGAGCAACACCTGCTAACAGACATTTGATTATAAATGCTGCTGGATTAATCCAATCTGTATATTTTGAAAATGGCTTGACTTCACAATTTAAGTCTAACATGTTACTTTGGAAAATAGATTTTGTTTGTGTTTCTACAGAAAAAGAAAAGATGTAGAGTCTTTCCAGTCTAATATGGTTTAACCAAGCAAGACCACTTGAAGCAGTGTCCCAGGAGATCCAACAGCCAAAACAACTGAAATGATACATCCTTGCAGACTACTACAGCCAGGATTTGGACAGGTTTCTGGGGTTTCTCAGGACCCCCATGGTACTGACAGTGTCACCAAACAGCAGGAAGTAGATTGGAGAGAATGATGTCCAAATTCCCCGATACTGTTTATGAATTGCTTTTCACCTAAATGGGGTTGGCTATAAATGGTTAATGATCACAGCCAACCTTTTTCTAAAGGATAAAAGGGAATATGATATAGAAATGAATACTTTGCATTGGTATGGGTTTTCATTTATTGATACAAATTTAGATATACAGAGATATTTGAGATAGAAAGTTAGTCTACAAACCTATCAAAGACCTACAGAACATGTCATTTAAAATGGTTCAGGATTTTCTTGGCAAAGAGTCACATTGCTCCTAGCAATATTAATTATTTCAGAAAGAAGGATGATCAAAGAAAATCAATATGAAGTTACTTTCAATATAGCAAGACCAGTCATTTGGATAAGAAACTGCTCTTGCCTGGACTGTTTGACTATGTGCTGAATAAACTGAACATGCAGGACCCACAGGAAAGTGACTGCTGAACTTGACAAAACAAAATGGGACAGTCCTGCAAGGTTTCTGCTTCATGGAAGAGTCTGCCAGTCATTCTACAGGACTTAGAGAGAAATGACTAACAAACTGGCAATGCAGGCAGGCAGTTTAAAATTTCAAGCTTCACTGAGAAGTCTGCCAGACACAGTGTGGCCTATGGGCTGAAAATTGAGGCTCCAATGTATAGAGGAACTTTGGATGACTGTCCAAGCAGCCATCCAAACATGTTAGACTTAATATATAATATATAAACTCTATCAATACTAGAGTTTATATATTATCCTTCTGAGGTCTTTGATGGAGTTGAAGATAGATAGTTATGGTTTAGGTGTTCTTTAGTTATGATAAAAGATAAGTTAAATATGTGACTTTAGACTCACAATGATAGGAAAGATAATATAATATTTTCTTTAAGTTTTGGCAAATGTTAATTGAGTAAATATTGTTAACTATAGTTCTTACTTGATAACTGTTTATTATATATAATTTTTCTGTGTTAAACTTAAAACCTTTCTTTCTATTTAGACAGAAATGAGATGATGAGGAATGTCCTTCGGCATATATGTTTCTTTTATGAACAAAAACCTGTTTGGCCAATATAGGCATCACTGTTTCATGTGTTGGGTCCCTAACTGAATGAATAAGCAAAAATGAGCAGAGCATAAGCATTTATCACTTTCTGCTTCCAAACTGGCTGGCATATGGCGAGGTGCCTCAGTTCCTTCTGCAATAACTTGCTATATTGGACTTACCCTCAAACTATGGAACAAAATAATCCCTTTCTCCCTTAAATAGCTTTTCCTGAGACCGTATAGTCAAAAAAAAGATACACATAACTATAATAAACATTTTACAGTCATATACTCTTCACACTAGACTTCCTGATAAGACTAGGTGTCTGTTGGCTGGTGATTGACGAAAGAGATGTAGTGTGATGTACAAGAATGTTTTATTCAGCCATAAGGAAGAATATGAAATCATATGATTGCAAGGAAAATAAATACAGCCATGGATCATTATACTGAGTAAATAACTCAGATTCAAGAAGAAAAGTATTGCCAATCTTGTGTGTGTCAAGGATGTTTCCTAGAATTTTCATAGATACAGAAAATTTCATGTATAAATGAAATCTGAAGTGGAAGTGATTATGAGAAAGAAGGAATTCAACAAAAAGGAGATCAGGGTATGGGAGGATTATGGTCAAAATACATAATATAAATAAATATAGATATTTTATGAAATATAATGCTACACAGTGCACAATGATATGTACCAATAGTTTTTAACAAATTAAAATGGTCAAATTTAATAATATTAAGCCTAGAAACATTCAAAACACACACCAGTTGGTTTTCAAGCCAATGATATACCATATATGCTTATAATGGACTATCTATAGTAGAAAGGAGAGGCACATTAATACAACTTGTACTAGTATTATACCTCAAAATCAGGCTAAATGATGAATTCGGGTCTAGAGGATTCTGTAGCGTGAGATGTCCCTTTTGAGATGTTGGTGAACATAAGCATTAGTGTCAGCAGAGCATCTGTTACAACTTTGTGCTGGAGGAAGAAGCCATAGAAGACCACTGGGGATCTGATTTAGCTGAAAGAATACTATATTCTTGGGAAATAATATTTACAAATCACTGACTATATATGAGTTATAAAAGCAAAGTCCTCTAAAATTTGTATTGTTTGCCTGAATATGCACAGTAGGCCTTTTAAATAGAATAAAATTATTACATTTTTCTCTCAAATAAAAACAATCATAGCATTTAAAATATGGCATTTATTTATATGGCAATCTCTCAGGTTTTATATATGTAATTATTTTATGAGTAATAGAAACAATGTAGTAAATGTAGATGAATAGATAGTCTGATCAAAATTTAATAAAGACATTTTTAATAGAAGCTTGGTCATTAATTCCAGATAATAAATCAATGCTTTTTTATAAACTATTAGTATGCATTTGCAGGAGAAATGTTTACATGGATGGGAAATAAATGAATAAAATGTAATGCTATTAATAAATTATTTTAATATTCATAACTATTGGCTACATATATTTATAATCCATGAATGTTTAAGAATTATATTTCAAATAAATTTTGAAAACACTGCTTTTCTTTTTCTCACAGGTTTTTAAGAGAAATGAAATCATTCCTTACATTTATTAGCCATTGGAGGATAATGGCAGCTATTTCATATATTTCTGGTTGGTTATAACAATATTGGTATCATTGATGTTAAGATAAAATGTGATGTATTTCATGCATGCTAAATGCCGTCTTAGAGTCAACACTGTAAAAATATGTTCTCAACCAGCCTAAGATTAATTTGGTAACAAAAACAGCAAAAAAGAGTGATATATATATATATATATATATACATATATATATATATATATCTTCTTTCCTTTGTTTAAATCGTGAAAATATATCGATTGCTGACAGTCTGATTTTAAATGCATTTGTAAGCTGTATTATTGTTTAAAAGGAGAGGTATTTCTGGGGCTAGCGAGATGGCTACTCTACTGTTAAAAGCACTGGATGCTCTTCTAGAGGACTTGGGCTAAATTCCCAGCAACTCAAGGTGGCTCACAATCTTGTGTAACTTCAGTTCACACCTGCCCTGTTTTGCCCCCCCCGTGGGTACCAGGCATACATAGGGGACACAGATATACCATGTGCTGCTAGTTATACCCTGGCACATAGACTGTGGGTAAGTAAATTTTGGAAAAAGACGAAAACAAGGTATTTCCTAACAAAAGTTAACAAATTTTTGTGATCAGCAAATTTTCATAGATTAAGACATTTTATTCAGTATTTAAGACAGGTTAAAATAAAAAGTAAGATTTAGTGGAAAATCTTACCACTCCAATGGAAAAGTAATTATTGATGATGCTGTAAGGCACAGGGTCTCCTTTCTCATCTTTGTCATTGGGTATGACTTCGAACTTCCACCTGTCCAGCATGATTTCTGTGCTGCTTTCAATGTCTCTTAGGATTTTCATCAGATTTTCACCTTCATAGCCTAATAAAAAATGTTTCATAGTGAGATAAAGCATAAACCAACTAAAGGGGGTTGTTCTCATATGTGTCTGTTTAATTACATGAATTATTCTGAAGATAACTAATATATTTTAATGTTAAATTAAAAATCGACTGTCATCTTATACTTGCACCAAGATTTTATGCTTAGTTTTTATTTGCAACAAATATTTCATTCTTATGGCATAAATCCTCTGTCTACCCAACTGCTAAACAACACCTTTACCACGTATCCTGTCAAACTTGTATGTCAGTTGGTTAGAATGCAATTAATTTTCAATTCTATACTTTCTTTCTAATCATCCTTTTACAGAAAACTACCAATCTCCCCCTTATTGTTGAAATTGCAACCTGAGTTTCCATGTTAGATTTCCAATCCATCCATTATCTTCATGTTTCCTTCTAGTGACAATGAGAAACTTAAAAGAAAATAAGCTGTTGATTTTCAGAATATTTCATAATTTCTCTAATTATAGTGCAGACATGTTTTTGAGATAGCTTGTTTTTATTTTCTCAACATTTCTTTTGGCAGCCACCTATAACATATAGCATCAGTTGCACATCTACCATACCCCTCAGTAACTGTGCATAAAGCTGCCCTTCTCTTGGAATAATTATACTGCATAATGTGTTTGTTATTTTCACTACAGCTCTGTGGACAGAGTTTCTTTTCCACCTGGTCCTGCATCCAATTAGCCCCAAATAAACACACTAAACGTATATTAATTCACAAACTGTTTGGCCAATGACTTAGGCTTCTTACTGGCTAGCTCTCTCTTAATTAGATGATGAGGGATGTGTTTCTGTATACATATTTCTCTTGTTGGTTGATGTATAAAACACTGATTGTCCAGTAACCAGGAGGGAAGCATAGATGGGACTACCAGGCTAGGAGAAGGCTGGGGAGAGGAAGACAGAAAGGATCTGCCAGTAGATGCCATGTAGCAGAGGAAGGAGTAACAGGTCTTATCCAGTAAGATAAGACCACTTGGAAATGCTTGGATTACTAGAAATGGACTAATAATTAAGAGAGAGCTAGAGGTTGAGAAATCTGAGCCATCAGCCAAATTTTCTATTAAAAGAAGCCTCTGTGTATTTATTTGGTACTTAGGACTCCCACCAGAGAGAACAGGAACTGTGTGTAAACAGCCCTCCTTTGCCAGATTGCCAAATCCATGTTTTAGTGGATTATCTATGGTCTATGTGCACTCCTGTGTTGATCTGATATCATAGTGTCCTAAATTCATCTGTGAGTGTATACTATCCAGTGAGGACTGAAGACTAGACTGGGGTATGTTATTGTGCATGTTTCTCAACCTCCTTCCATATCAGCTCACTCATCTCCCCAGTCTCAGATTTGCTGAGTATTAAAAGAGACATCACTTAAAAAGTCCTTACTACCAGAGTCCAGACCAAATGGAACAGAACATTCTCTACAAGATACTACTGGTGAGGATGGTGAAGTTTGAAAACAATTATAATGTTTTTGAGCCAGCAAAAAGGAAGACATCCAGATGTGGGCGGTGCTACGCCATAGCACAGAAACTGAGGTAACCCAGGTCGAGGTACCCAGGCTTCAGGTGTTTCTCATGCCGAAGCTGCTGATCAGGGTGGGGCAAGAACACACTCAGAAACAGAAACACGGGTCATTAAATTTGTAAAAGGACCTGTAGAAGCAGGCAGAAGGTCCAACGTGAAGTCTGGACGCCCAGGGCACAAGGTGTCCGACAACACGCAGTGGAAAATGCAGATCCAGTGAGGAGGGCAGGCTTGTCCCAAAATAAAGCAATGAAACTCAGGGTCTCCAAAACCAGAGAAGATGTGGACCAAGAAAAGACATGAAGTGACACAAGGTACTTGGCAAACAGATTCCAGAACTTAACTGTGGAAAGCGTTAAGAGGAGCAGCTGGAGGTGATCCAGAGATATATGCCCAGGCACAAGGACTCCTACAATAGCAGTGGGAGGCTGGAGTTATGACAGAGATGTCCCCGGATAGGGTGTTCAAGTACATAGATCATGTCAGAAGAAAAGTATCAGGGAAAGCAAACAAGGAATAGGAATTCAATAATGCAGTAGAAGTCATTGATACATTTGAAAAAAAAACAATAGGATATAAGAAAGAAAGTTTTAGAAAAAGAAAAGTCCAAAACTTTGAATTATGACATAAAATGATAGAATTAGGAGAATACTGTATCAAATGCATAGAACATATTTTTAATCAAAGGACACTTTCCAAACAGAGAAACAAATAAAAAGATAACAGTATAGGTACAACAGGCATATAAAAGATGGAACAAGACCCGAAAGGAAACTATCAATGACATCTAATATTAAAACACTAAAAATACAGAATAAAGACAACATATTGAAAGTTGCAAAAAGGAATGGCAAGCTGCTTTTTAAGACAAGTCCATTGAGTAATAGTTGATTAAGTGGCAGAAACTAGTTTTTATCATTAATTGGAAGCTGATGATTTCAATCATTTTAATCTTTTTATTTATAGTTTTTTAATTTAGAAACAATCTTATTTTACATAACAATCCATCCTTTCCTCTCCCCCCTATTCTTCCATGATCACCATAGACTGCCACAACCAGCCCTCACCCTTTCCCTAATGATAGTGAGGAGCTCTTTAGGGGATCATCTGTGTATCTGGGCTGAAATAGTTTCCTTCCATATGGAATGGGCTCCCAAAGTTAGAGGTCCCATAGACTGCCCAGGCCTCCTAACTAGCACCCACATTCAGAGTAGCAGGAACTTTTATAGACAGAAGTCATTTTGTGATACACTAAAACTGCTATGTCAGAGAGTTATACTCAGCAAAACTATCTACTAATTCATGGCTTTACATCTAATAGTTACTCACTGACTAGATAAAAGGAGGATAAAAAATCTTAGCCAAATTGACTAAAAGAAAGATTACAAATAATTATATAGAAAAAGGGATACATTACCAAAGATGTCAGTGAAGTTTAGAAAATTCCAAAACAATACCTTAAATAATTTTACTCCTCTAAAATGGATTTTATAAAGAAACAGATAAATTCCTAATGTGTAAATATGGCAGAAATAAGCCACAATGAAGTAATAATCTGAAGTTATATTAATAGTGATATTGAAATAGTCATAAAAACTCTCTCCACAAAAAAGAAAGCACAAGACCAGATAGGATCCCATGCACAATCCTACCAAATATTCAGGAAAGAAAAAGCATTAGAAAACCCCAGTTATTACAAAACATCAAAAAGAAAGGCGAGGGAGGAATCTGCTTCTAAAATCTTACTTCCACATATGTGTGGCAGCATGCTTGTGTGTGTTTGTGTGTGTGTGTGTGTGTGTGTGTGTATTTGTGTACGAGTGAGGATGAGTGACAGACAGACAGATGGAAAGAGGTTTAATAAAATGAAAATAAATAAAATTACTGAGAATAAACCTATCTGATAAAATAGAGAGCAAGAATGCTGAAGGGAGAAAGGTTAAAGCAGTGAGGGGTTGTGGGAAAGAAGGTAGAAACCTAGAGGCTGGGAGGAGAGTTAACCAGGATGAAGGTGTGTGAAGAATCCATACAGAAATATACTATCCCACAATTTCGTTAAAAAATGCAAAATTGGAGGGACAGTCAAACACATGTTGCATGAAATAAGACAGGCAAGTACACAAGTGGTCTGAGTAGGAATGGGGACAAAGAAGACAGGGAGGAGAAGACAGAGTGTAAATTAACCAACGTAGGGCTATATATTAAAGAGCAAATAGAAATCTACTGGCTTGTGTGTTAATTCAAATATTTAATAGAATAGTATGAACATGAATGAAAATCAACTGTATTGGTGGACAAAGATTCTCCCAAAATACATAGCTTATAAAATGAAAATTTAATAATGAATGGGATACCTCCATGGAGTTATTGTTCAGGGAAGCCTCAGAAGTTCCCACAGCACACACTATTAGTGATGGTTGTCAATTGGTTGCCATAATTAACAAAATGATGGTAAGAACATATTGTTAAAAACAACACACTTTTGGATTGTAGGACATAAAGAAATTAATCTTGAACCAAAACAGTTATGTCATATTTTCTGGGTCACTGTAATAAGTGTCAGAGAGTTCTATGCAAGGCAGACAGAGGGAGGAGAGCCATCAAAGATATGATGCAGTCCTGGGCCCTACATGCTATAATACCGGCCTGCCTGGAAAGATGTAATCACTGATACAGAGTCAGAACTGTTGTGGGGGTAATCAACTGCTTTCTGATTAGATTTGGGGCTTTCTTTGTAGGAGGGATTTATGCCTAGTATGCAAACACAACAGAAGCCCATAACTGGGAAGGTCATAGCCTAGGGAACTTATTATTCTTGTTTTGCTAAACAGAAATTTCATCTTGTAAATATTTGCACTTATCCCCATAGGACGGAACTGTTCTCACTTTGACAACAAGGCTTCTCTTTTTTTTAGTAGTTACCTGTTGTCAATGCAGAGACACATACCTAATCAGAGCACTGAGAACAGTGACTGTGAGTGCTATATGTGATATTTACAACAATTCTGCTCTCCCTTGGAGTATAGGATATGTCATAAGAGAGGGGTAGAAAGAGCTTGAAACCAGGAGGACTGAATAGTGATGTAAATTATTGTCCTCTGGGCAGGGTACAGCTGTTGCACTCGTGACCCTGCAGCAACTGTGGTCACCTACAGAAGATCAAGCCATTCAACCTTCCACCTGGGATGGGGAAAAAGCTCAGGAGGCATATATGCAAGCAGCTTCTGCCAACTGGTGGCAGCTGTAGCAGAGAGAGCCATTATCTTTAGGGTATAGCCACTGATAGGTTACCAACACTTTACTGGATGGTGCACACCTATGCACAGACTAGCAGGACTAATTTAGTCAATGGCTCCCACAAAGTATATAAAGTTGAAAGGACACATTGTTGGGGATGGTCTTCATGAAGCATTCAAAAGTGTTACTGGGGTAGATATGATCACA